CTGCAAGGTGCCCTCGTTGACCTAACTTCCTCCCACTGACCCCCACCTTCAAAAGGCTCCATCACCTCCCAGTAGTGCTACAAGCTGCCAACTGAGCTTTTCACAAAGGGGGCTTTGGGGGACACTTCCAAACCACAGCCCTCTCCTCTCCTGACCTACAGTGTCTAGCCCAGGGGCAACCACAATTGCTAGTTTCTTGAGTATCCTTGATGTATGTGTGTGTGTGTGCTTACATATTTTAAGAAATACAAATAGAATCATGGCACCATAGTGCATATAGTGCATGGCGGGATTCATACTGTTTTGTATCTTTTTTTTTTTTTTTACTTAATATCTTGCTCTAGTTGGATATATTTATGTATCGTAAAAACTATTTACTGTGGGCCTAGAGCCGTGGAGTGGTGCATGCCTGTAATCCCAGTGGCTCGGGAGACTGAGGCAGGAGGATCAAGAGTTCAAAACCAGCCTTAGCAATTTAGCGAGGCCCTATGCAACTTAGCAAGACCCTGCCTTTAAATAAAACATAAAAAAGGACTGGGGATGTGGCTCAGTGGATAAACATCACTGGGTTCAATCCTTAGTAGGGAGGGGGAAAAAAAAACTGTTTACTGAGTCCCTGCTATAGTGATCTGTGCCCTGGAACTACTGCAACAAGACAGCTTCTGCCTTCATAGGGCTTATATTCTACAGGAAGAATAGCATACTGAATGCTAATAAGAAAAGACATTGGATAGAGAATGGTGGTGGGCAGGGGTGAGGGGATACCAACTCCTTTTAATCAGGGGCGGCTCTCTGGGGAGGTGACATCTAAATCAAGCCCTGAAGGATGGAACCAGTCATGGAAGGAGCAGGTAGAACAGCATCCAAGCAAAGGGAACTGGAAAGGAAGGAACTTAGCTTATTTGAAGAATTTAAGGAAGAACTACAGAGCTGAGTCATGGTGAACAAGGCAAAGAGAGAGCAGGATGTTCTGGGGAAAGGTCCTGGGAAGGTGGTGAGGGCTTTCCTGTCTGATTCGTGTTGACACTTGCCCTGCCACTGCCGAGTGATCTAGCAACAAGCCTGAGGCCTTTGTACTTCAGGCAAGAAAAATGACAGTGCCCTGGGCTGACCACCAGCCACTGGCTGTGTGAAACAGAGGACAGGGAAGGATTCTAAACACCTACTGGAAGTGGAAGAAAGTGACCTCCATGAGGGGTTGGTGCCAAGTGTGGAGAAAGGAAGGGAGAATCGGGTGGCACAGGTGGCTTAGTTTATGAAGCAAGGATTCAGGTGTTAGAGATAGGCTCAGCCTGAGAATCCTGGGCGGGGGCTTGGATGTTGCTATCTGGAGTTCAAGGAATCCCCGGCAGAACCACAGGGATGGGAGTTAGCAAGCTGCAATGTTAGGATCTGGAGTAGGCCTGGGTATGGAAAGCAGTGTTCAGCTACTGGCTCAGGCTGGCCATTTTAAAACCTAACTTTTAGGAAGAGTTCCGGAAGGGGAGGTAGGGGAGGGGCGTACTAGGAGGGTGGATATGATTAAAACACCCTATGTGACCAACAATAAAAATTTTTTAAAATAAATAAATAAATAAAATTTAAAAAATAAAAAACACCCTATGTGCATGTATGGAAATGTCACAGTGAGACCCATTAAGTAGTACAATTAACATGGGTTAATATTTACCATAAAAAAATAGAATAAAAATAAAACCTAACTTTTCTTAAAGGCTATAAATTCAACTTACAAATCTTGTTATTTCATTTTAAATCCAGTAACTTTTCATATAAAGATAAGAACAATCACTTGTACCCATTGTTTGATTACTGTTGAACTGTTAGACTTAGTAGATCTAATCCTCCTTATACATTTAATAGATTTACTACTGCCTTAATTAATCAAATTTCCTTGGACATTTCAAACTATAATTACAAATTTAATGTGCTTGATTTTTCTCAAACATTTTAAATGCCCAACAGGGCAGACTTCCATATCTAAAAAGCTAAATCCTTCTAAGCACTTAAACAACTGTTGTAAATTAATTAATTTAATTAATGACCTAGGGCTGGGGATGTGGCTCAAGCGGTAGCACGCTTGCCTGGCATGCGTGTGGCCCGGGTTCGATCCTCAGCACCACATACAAAAAACAAAGATGTTGTGTCCACCAAAAACTAAAAAATAAATATTAAAAAAGAACTCTCTCTCTTTAAAAAAAAAATTAATGACCTAAACTTACAAAGTAGCAAATCAGATTCTCTTGACTACTTCAAGAACCCGAAGTCCTACACAAAGCAGAACAAGGATCACAGTAGTTCCCCTGTTGTATTTATCTTTTTCATTATCTGAATATTTATTTATTTCATTTTCTGTATATTTACTTATTTCATTACCTGAATGTTTGTTTACTTTCTGGAATTACAGTTACTCCCCCAACAAAGAAATCAGGATTTTCCCCCAAATATCACCAACGGCAACCAAGGCATTTCACTCTCAGATCTGTCATTTTGCCCACAAGTTTTCAAAATATTGATTGACAGGTGACATTAGGATATGACGGTGGTGAGGACAAATGATATAATACAGACATATGGAAAGAACAGAAGTGTGTCCAGGACAAAGCTCTGAAAGTCAACATCTAATCTTGTACCTGTAGAAAAAGTGGAGCCAACAGAGGGACTGCCTAACTCCACCAAATACAATGTGTGTAACCTCTTATTGGTCTCTCCATTTTCAGAGGCAGGGGACTTTCCAGATAATCTCAGCAAATATTGCCACCATGTACCTCTCCAGTTTTAGTCATCGCGAATCACTGTGTGTGCTTGGACTTGTTGCTCAACCTTACTGAACTCAAGATTCCATAGGCTTAAATAGGGATTGGATTCCTAAGACCCTTTTGAATTCAATAAGTTAAGTCAGGGAGCATTGTAAGCAAAAGGGCAGAGATAAGAAAACACATGTTTGGAAGAAAGTGAGTTAGGCTAGTTAGAATAGAGGAAAAATTGCTTCCAGTGATTTATGACATGCTTTAACCTTTAAATCAGCGTGTCCTGAATTTTAATGGCATTAAGAATCATATGAGATGACTTAATTTAAATGTAGACTAAATTAATCTGTTTTAAAATGTAGATTTCTGAGCTGTTCCTTCCAAGATTTTATTTAGTATGTCTGGGATGAGGCCTGGAAATTTGTAAATTTTTTTTTAAGTTCCCTAGGTGACTGTGATGTAGAGCAAGGTTTGACTATAGGAACTGGAAAGACTTTAGTTGGAAGACTTGGATCATACACACCTGCCAGGCACAGTAGCAGTCTCTTCAGTATAAGATTCAGAAACTTGGCAAATGGCAGGATTATGCAGCTGCATGTCTCCCCAGATTGGAAAATACAAGACACAGCATCCTGTATTAGGTGGGGTTCACTGCAGAAATGGACCCAAAGTCAACCAACACACATACCCGGAGTTCAGGAGACGGGAAAATTCTAAAAAGAATTGTGGCAGAGATGACTGATTATGCCCCAAATACACATTCTACATTCCAAACTTCTACCCAAGTAACAGAAACCCCCCCCCCCATTTTATCTAAGCACATGGCCACCAGGAACAAAGACTATATTTTTCTGTCTTCCCCATACCATTAGATATGGACAAATTCTGACCAGAGACAGTTGGAGGTCTACCCAAGACTCCAGGCAAGTTGTCCTTAAAGAGCAGGGGTGAGCCCTCCTTCTCCCCCACCTCCTTCCTTCTAGATAGAATGCCCTGAACATATGGAGTTCTAGTAACCACCTTGGGAATGGAAGCCCCACATGGCAGAACTACAAGAGAAAACTTGGTCTCTGCCAAGGGAAAACTATCTGATCACCTCTAAAATTCTTGAAGGTAAGAGAAATTTTAAGCTTATTTTGGAATCTTCTGTTACCTGCCAAACCTAATCACAGCTAGTTCTGCCAATACTAATTAATGTTTATATAAGCACCTAACATGTGCCAGGCACTATTATAAGTGGTTGACATGTATTAATTCAGATAATCTTCACAATAATCCTAAGAAGTTACTATCAACCCCATTTTACAGATGAGGAAACTGGAGCCATAGTAAAGTCATATAATCTTCCTGAGGACCCAAGCCAAGAAGTGACCGAGCCAAGATTCTAGCACAGGCCAACTAGACTTACATTCAGTCTCTAACCATGACGCTGCCCTGCCACTTGATTCCAGAGGTCATCATTCACCACCCAACTACTGACTCAACAAATACCAACCAAACACCAGGGCACAGGACACTTGATGATGAACCATATGCACAGTTCCCTGCCCTTGCAAAGCTTCCAGTCTCAGAACAAGCAATGCATCCATACGTACCTTGCAGAATCCAAAGACAACATCAACCATCAGACTCTGGAGAGCACAAGAGGCAGGACCCACCCCTCTGCTCCCACCACTCCAGCACCCACTCTGTTCCAGAGGACACATTCACTGAGAAAGACTGGCCAGTGAGATCTGAGCCAGAGACCTGAACTAGCACCTATACATCGCAATCCAGGGAAACTCAAGAATGAAGAACCCAATGACTAGGATCCAGCCCTAAGTGTCCACTTGTTTCCAAAGGAGGGCAGTTGTTGGAAATCATTCCCAGAGTCTCTGCCACATCCCCCAAAAAAGGGGAAAGAGAAGAGTGGGGGCGGGGGGGGGGGAAGAGATTTCAAGAACTCTGACCACTTGGCAGAACCTTGTCCAACCTGATTCATTAAGACTTGGTGAGGGGGATAACTTCTTTATTGGGGCTTGATTGGATAGAAGGAGTGATGGGGGGAGGGGTTGAGGCAGGGTAGCCAGGAGTGAAAGAGGGTCAGGAAACCTGGTCAAGAGACCACATAAAACCTTGAAGTATTTCACCATGATTCTGACACCATGTTAAGGTAATAACACTAAATATTGGGGGAAGAAAGTTTTGTGTTCAAAAATATTTACACAGAATACACACAAAAAAAGATATCCATCAAGGAGCAGGGGCGCACACCTGTAATCTCAGCAACTTGGGAGGCTGAGGCAGGAGGATCAAGAGTTCAAAGCCAGGGCTGGGGATGTGGCTCAAGCAGTAGGGCGCTCGCCTGGCATGCGTGCGGCCCGGGGTCCATCCTCAGCACCACATACAAAGATGTTGTGTCCGCCGACAACTAAAAAATAAATATTAAAAAAAATATATTAAAAAAAAAAGAGTTCAAAGCCAGCCTCAGCAGATTAGCAAGGCACCTAGTACCTCAGGGGGAACCTTATCTCTAACTAAAATATAAAAAGGACTAGGGATGTGGTTCAGTGGTTAAGCACCCCTGGGTTCAATCCCCACCCCCACAGAAAAAAAGAAAGAAAGAAAGAAAGAAATCCAACTATTAGAGATAAACACAAGTAAACTGTGGCAGTAATAACAACAGCTTAGACTTTATTAACTATCAATGTTCCAGACTGAGTGATAAGTGTTTGTCACAACCCATTTAATCAAGCTTAAGAAATAAAACAATTTGCTACTATACCATGCAAAAAAGAAATGGAGCTCAGATTTGAAACAGCAAAGCCAACAGTCATAAGTACTGCCATGTACCATGCTACACACTCATGTTGCTGCACTAGGGGGTTAGCTCAATAACAGAGCCCTGGCCTAACTTGCACCAGGACCTGGGGTCAATCCCAGCACAAAAAAAGTAAAATAAAATAAAATAGCAACTGTGAGAACTGCATTACATGGGGAAAGTCCGTGATGCAGCATTCCTCAGAGAAAAACTGCAAAACTGCATACAAAGGATGGTTAAAGGCAAGGCCCATGCACACACACTCACAAAATACAGAGGCTGAAGGTATCAGCTGAGGTCTCATCTGGAAAAAGAATCCACACAGATTTTAAACAGAAATATTAACATAAAGATGTGCTGGTTAAAGCATGGGACTAAAGTAATAGGGATTGCCTGGTAAGAAGAAAAGAGAACTCTATAGAATATAGGAATAGCAGATATAAGAAGTAGCCACTATCTTGAGGGCTGAATAGAGAACCTGAGGGAAAGATTCCTCTCCCCTCCAGCCAGGGGAAGCTGGTGCTGAAGAAGTTGTGTGGATGGACAAGGCCTGGCACTGAATGCAAATGCCCTTTTGGAAAACAGGTATATGGTGGGGAAAGTAGAGATTATATCCATATCAATCAACTCTGGAACCAACATTACACACTGCCTGGCACAGACACCCAATTGTTTTCTGTGTATACATCTGGAGTCTCCATCTAGATGGTGTTCTTTTAGAGCAAGAATTATGTTTTATCTTCCTCCTATAGCCAATCCTACACTATACAAGTGTTCAATAAGTTACTTTTGAATATATGAACCCTATTAAACAAACTGTCTTTGCCCATTCATTTTATTTTAATTATTCTTGTAGTTTATTATTTTATTCTATTTTTCTGCTATAAAAGCAAAAAAATGTTTATTATGGAAAATGCAAAAGTAGAACAAAAGAAGAAAAATACCAACCATATTCTTACTATCCAGAATTAATCACTGTTAATACCCCAGTTTATTTCTTATGCACAAAGTTTTTTCTTTCTTTCTTAAACATAGATGTATAGATGTATACACATCATATCCCACATGCAATTTTTTTTTTTTTTTTTAGTGCTGGATATGGAACCCAGGGCCTCATGCATGCTAGGCAAGCCTCTACCACTGAGCTCACCCTCAGACCCTGACCCATGGAAAGTGTTTCTTCAACTCCTCATAAACTCTTAAAGAGTTGATGAATTGCATACTCACACACACACACACACACACACCCACCCATTGATGTTGAAAATACCTTAAATGTTGACTGCACAGTATCTTGTTCTGAAAATGTTAAGTGTTTAATCACTCCTTTTTGGAACTTTTGGAATAATTACATAACAAACATGTGCTTAAAATTTTCTCTGGTAGACTTATTTCCCAAGATGGCTTTCTCACATGTGAAATTAGGTTAGATGGCCCAAATGCACTGATGAAAATTTAAGATCATGGGGCAACTGCTTCTGAACTCAGAAATTAGTAGCTTTCCCTTTTTAACAGGATACAAAGCTGAAACTCCTTCTTTGCCTTCTACTCCTACCATAGGAACACGTGCTCACCTATCACCTAACACAGCCGCCCCCTCCCAGCCCCCTCCTCACAAATCACAACAGGGCCCTAAAAGACTGCAGGGTCCTAAGCTAGTCCCATCCGCCCTTTTGTCCAGAAGCTGCCAGTTGGGAATGGCGTGACTGGAGGCGCCAACTGGAGGTTTCCCTGCGACCCTCCGCAGAGGATGGGGTGGCACCCTGGACGTCAAACTAGGCGCTGGGGCTTGTCTGGGCGCGGTCCCGTCGAGGGTAGACCGGGAAGTTTAAAGCAATAAATCTACAGTTTAGAGCTCCTGGGAGGGCACAAGACACCGCCAGTCCTTCCTCATCCCGAAAGACTGGCTCTTGGTCTCCCGCCTCGGCCTCTTCTCTGGCCCCTCTGCAGCCCTAGTTCTTCCCCGCAGTTTACCCGGTCAACCTCCAGGTCTTATCTGGTCTTCCTATTCTCCCCAGTGAAGAGGTCGCCCGAACCATAGGGTCTCCTTCCCCAATCCCTCCTTTTTCCCTCCCCCAACCAAGCTAGTCCCAGTACACACTCAGGGGTCACCCTTGAGATTCCGATGACCTTACAAGACCCCCACCATCTCGTCGGCACCTCTTTCACGTATCTGTGCGGGGCTGTCCCTCTGTCTTTCCGCCATGATTGACTTTCTGTCCTGTTTCACCTACCCTTCGATCTGCAGGTCCTGTGACCCTGGTCTTTTCATTTTATACAGTCTGCCCCTCTCGTGACAGCACCTCAGTCCCTAGAGGTCTCCTTCATAGCCCCTCCCTAAGCCTGCCCCCTCTGCGCCCCCGCCCACGTCGGTGCTTCTGTCTGCCCGCGAACGTGTTCCTTTGCTCCCGAAGTCTGTTTCTTAGTCCAGCCAGGCCCCTGCTCACCATCCCTCCCCGGAGCTAGAGAGGCCGCGACCAGTTCCCCTCCCTTGCCCGGCCAACTCTTCCCTCTTCCACTTTCTCTACTTTCAACCCATCCCAGCAGAGTCCAGGAAGTAGCCTGGCACCAAAGACTGACGGTGGTGATGCCCAATGGGGAACGCCAGCGGCGGCGGAGGCCCCGCCCAGAGAGCGAACGCGGCCACTGAACGCGTGGAGGCGGGACTTCCGCTGTCCCGAGGAGGGCGGGGGGAGCGAACTGTTGTGGTGCGGCGCGTTGGGCGGGCGGCGGCCGGGCGGCCCAGGGGCTGCCGCGGGACTCGGGGCGCAGCCGAGCCGCTGAAGGGGTGGGGCGGGCCGGACGCGCCGCGGGGCCCGGGCGCCGCGGGTTCGAGGCCCGGCCCCGCGAGGGGAGGCCGCGCCACCCCCGGGGAGCTGCCGGGCGGCGAGTTTGCCCCGCAACCGAAAGAAGGCGGGAGCCGGCGGGGGGGCCTTCGAAACCCCTTGGCAGCCCGGGCCCGGAATCCCTAGGGAGCCACCGCGTCCTGGGACGCCCCCCGGGACACCCCTGCTGCAGGGTAGCGATTCTGGGCCCCCGGCCGAAGGCGCCTCCGGGTGACCCCCGGCGGGGCCCTGCAAGCCGCGGGAGCTGACCCTGGGGCCTCAAGCCGGGAGGCAGGGGCTCTCCGGAGACGCGGGCCTGGGGCTGAAGGAGCCGGGCCTCTCGGACGCGGGGCAGGGCAGCGCCTGTCTGGAGACGGACTCCGGGACTCTTGGGTGCGGGGGTCTCGGCGACCTGCCCCGCGGGGAGCGCAGCCGCGGAGTGGCCTACAGGGCGCCCTCCCCTAGAGGGGCCGGCCCGGGGCGGGGAGATGAACGGCTTCAGCACGGAGGAGGACAGCCGCGAAGGGCCCCCCGCCGCCCCCGCCGCCGCCCCGGGCTACGGCCAGAGCTGCTGCCTCATCGAGGACGGCGAGCGCTGCGTCCGGCCCGCGGGCAACGCCTCCTTCAGCAAGAGGGTCCAGAAGAGCATCTCGCAGAAGAAACTCAAGCTGGACATCGACAAGAGCGTGAGTCCACCCGTGTCCGGGCCCCAGCGCCCGGCCGCTCTCCGGCCGCTGCCCCGGGCTGCGGTCCGTACTCCCCAAGCACTCCTTGCTACGGGCCTCGCCGCCCCTTATCTGCAGAATTGAAGAGCTGGACTCGCGATCTTAAAGGCCGCTTCAGCGCTGACATGCTCTGTGATTCTGCCCAGATCCGATAGTTTGGGGGAGGGGGGGCTTCAAGGATTCCTTCCTGGGAAGATTTGACAGCGGTTTCTAGCTTGTTATATATATATTTTTTTGGCTTTGGATGTTAGAGCAACGAGAGGGAGGTTAATTTGGGTGGGTGGGGGGCGTGAAGGAGAATCGGGGAGATGATAATGAAGGGATCCAGCTTTTCAACTTCTCCCACCTTATAGGAACCCTGTTACTTCTTCAGACTGGGAAAAGGTGACAGTAACTTCCTTGTCTCCCGCGGCCTCTTTTTCTGCAGAGGGTCACTGAGCTTGCTTGCTTTGCTTCGCAGGCAGCTGTGGGAATGAGTTTTTCTAGGATGTGGCAAAAATGAGGCCAAGGCCAGGTGTTGGGAGATGGCTCTTGTCCAGTTCATTGGAAGGGAGAAAAAAGTCAAATTTTTTAGGGGCAGAATCTTTGGAAATGCGGAGGTGGAGATTTAAATTTGAATAGGATTGCCCGGTGTTTTGTGCCTAATTATAGAAACTTCCTGTGTGATTTTAGCACTTCTAGTTAACAATTCTAAAGATGTGCCTATTGTCAACCAATTAAGAACTTTTTAGTTTGACATCTGTTGCTGCAAGCCTTATTGGCTGCTTCATGATTAGGAACTGGAAACAAATTAAGGGGACATTTAATATTCAGGTAAGCTAAGAGCTTACGTGGTTAATTTTTTTTTTAGAGCCAAATTTCTCCATGGTTGGGGAAGGTCAGAAGTTGAAAGGAAGCCCTCTTTTCCACTTATGATTTTATAGTTGAAACTGAGGCCCAGAGACAGGAAGTAATGGTGCCAAATGTATACAGCACCTGGTTAATTTCCTAAACCCATTATATGATTTCTTTCCAAGCCCCATGCATAAGCATTCATTAAGTCTTTAATAAATAAATCTTCCTTGTCATTTCTTTCAGGCTCTTCCCTTCTACCCTCAATTTTATTTAAAATCAATCATTATAGTGCATTTGCAATCTTGCATGGCAAGGTGCTATTTTTAAGTGATAGAGGGTGAGCCAGAAACTTTCTTGCTACAAATCTGTATCATTCAATGAATGAATGGATGGAATTCATCTGAAACAAACAACAGGCTAGACACCATGGTGGTCCCTGATGGTCACATGATGAAGTGAAATACTTAATTGTAGGACAGCAATGACCTACCCACTTGGAAACACTGCCTGCCTTCTCTGTGTGTGGTTAACAGCCTTTACTAGAACAGCTAATAACATTTTCCAGTTCTTTTAAACCTCTGGATGCCTTCACATCTGAATGACTTTGCTGCTGCAATGGAGGCTCCGTTTACCCATTATCCCTCCCCACCCCCTGGAAAACTGGTGGGGTTGGGCTATGTCCACCATTTTCACATGCACATCTAGAAGGGAGGCAGCCTAAACCTAGCACTAACATTCCCAAAAGGTAGAGAGCCTCTGAAAAGTACTAGGGTTTTGAAGTAGAATCACTCACAATTTGTTTCAAGGTGGTGTTGTGGAGTTATTTCTGAAAGGGATTTGATTTCATTCTCACAGGCTTGGGCAAGAATTCAATTCCAAGTAACTGCTGTGTTACAAGAATTTTTAGCTGTTACAGAAAGTAAACAGAAAAAAAAAAAAAAGCCAGTGACACAGCCAGGCTTGGTGGCACTTGCCTATAATCCTAGCAACTGAAGTTGGATCACAAGTTCAAGGCCAGCCCCATCAACTTAGCTAGACTTAGCTAGATGCTGTCTCAAAAAATAAGAGGACCGAGGATGAAGTTCATTGGTAAAGCACCCCTGGATTCAATCCTCAGTACTGAAAGAAAAGAAAGGAAACAACACTGGGACATTTGCATGGTTAAGGAGAAACAATGACTATTTATCTCATAAAAGGATCTAGCAAACAACCTCTTTAACAGCACCAAAAACCCAATTCAGGCTGTTTAACATTGGCAGTGTTCTGTGATTTTTTTTTTCATATTTTTATTGGGTGTGATTTAATAAGATATAATGTACTTGCAAGATGTAACATACCTAACCTATTTCTGATTTTTTCCTGGAGAAAAGTAGAAGTTGAGAATAGCATAAAGGAAAATATTGAGGTAGGAAAGGACATACATGTACTAGAGGTCAGAAGATCTGTGTGACCTTAGCCAGACTATTTCCTACTCTGGGTGGCTTCAGTTCGCCCTTCTACAAAATGAGATTTAGTCCAGTGGGGTTGCACTAGTGGTTGCTAAGTTCTCTTCCAGCTAGGATTTCATTATTCTCATGTCAGGACCTGAAACCTCCTAGCTAGATCTTTAAGAAATTCCTATTCTGCCTGTTCTAGTAAGTCTGTCACTGTGCACTTGAGGAGCAGCTAGATCTCTCAGCATACACGTGCTGGCCTGGCTAACGTGGAGCACCAGCTGCCTCTCAGGACTGGACAGTGTTCTCTGGTGTACTTCCCTGGAGAAGAACATGTCCTGTAGTACATATATCCCTGGGGGGATTCTTTGGAACACTGGCAGGTGCTGAGTGTGAAAGCCCTTTGACAAAGGGAAATCTGGCAAAGCTATCCCAGTTTGTAACTCTGTAAGTGGTGGCTTTTACTGGCCTAAGCTGCTTTTAGATGTAGGGGACTGCCAATATTGATGCATCAGCATTTATTGAGTGCCTGCTGTCTGTAAGACACCATTACAGTATAAACTTAAAATTATTCATGACTCACTAATCCAACCACATGAAAGTGATAATTCATCTGAATAAACAGTTTTTATTATTTTCTTCATAAAAAGGCCTGAATTAATCGATGCTGACTTCCTGTCAGCTTACTTTTATCTTTAGGGATTTAAGGAATAAACTCAAATTTAGAAGTCTCTCCAGAACATTTGTGCAGCATCTGTTTCAATATCAATAACCCCAAGTCATTTGCACAAGCATTCAGTTTCTGTAAGGTTTTGAATGGTTCCTACAGGCAACCCTTATATTCTTAAGTAAAAACATATTCTTCACATCTTAGCTGCTGTTGGCACCTTTGCTTACTAATATGCCTCCAACCTATCTTAGAAAATAAGCACTAATATCCATCTTATTTTATGTGGTTCCACTTTGTGAGAATTTCTGCATCTCTTTCTACTTCTCTTTGTGGATCAGATGTGAAGTGTTGCAAGAATACACCAATACATGGAAATAAAGTTTTTTAGAATTATCGTATAGTAGTAACCACTGTAAATGTAAAATAGGATGTACCGTCTACCATTACCACAGTCTCAGCTTCCCTCCTCCCCAGGGCAGCTCCGGCCTACTAACTCCTGTATAATTCCTACAGGTCTTCTGAAAATGTCCCAAAACTCCCTGCTTCAAAAAACCTTAAAGGACTCTGTCTAGTCTGAAGGAACATCTCAACAGTCTTCATGTCCCCAACCTGGAATCTCTCCTTATGCTCCTGCGTGGGCAGTCACTGCCACCCAGGCTGACTATTTACGCTGGGCCTCCTCACTATAACCTCTCTGTTATCTACACTGGGACCTCTCAGTTTTCTCTTTGCTCCCCATGTGGAATACTTCCCTGCCTCCAAGTCCTTCCTTCTAACTGGGGGCCTCCATCCTGACTATCTCAGCTATAGGGATCTCTGCCTGTGCTGAATCCGTGCCATTTATTGTCTTTACCATTCAGTGGAGACTTAATTTGTAATACGCTGTGTGGTGTTAGCATTCTCTTTGTGTGTGTGTGTGTGTGTGTGTGTCTTTTTTTTTTTTTTTTTTTTTTTTTTTACCCCCAGTGCTGGGAATCAAACCCAAGGCCTTGCACATGCTAGGCAAGTGCTCTACCACTTAGCCCTCTTGTGTGGATCTTGTTCTACAACTCTAGAGTCAGCTTTGGAAACTATGGCCTACATCTCATTCTTCTCTCTCTCCAGTGCCTTAAAAAGAAAAGCCCCATAATTTGACAGATCCCTGTTGCTGTTTCCATGGAATTGGCAACACTGACTTTTATTTCCTTCCCATCAGGTAAGGCACCTATACATCTGTGATTTCCATAAAAATTTCATCCAAAGTGTTCGAAACAAAAGGAAGAGGAAGACAAGTGACGATGGTGGAGATTCTCCTGAGCACGACACTGACATTCCTGAGGTAAAGGCCAAAAAAATCAGCCAGAGAGAGCTGGAAGAACGGATTCTAATCTGATCCTTCCCTCTGGCCTGGTCTTCTTTTTGTGCTGAAAAGTAATTTTAGTCCCCTTTGTTTTTGCTGTGCTTTATTTGAAAAGTGAACCATAGAATTATAGTAACACTGAACCTGAGAGCTGAAAGCTTGGAAATCGACTGGTCTGGCTGCCCCATCATTTTCCAGACAGGCACAGAGACCTGAGGTCGTATACATAGTTTGGAGACTCTGGTCTAGTCCTCTTTCCAATGACCACACTCCCTTTCTTCAAGAAACCCCTACTTGAATACAGCCACGATGTCAAATTTTTTCCAACCCTGTTTCTGCCTTAGAGACTTGAGTGTGTGTGATCTGGGGACAGTCTCTTCCCATCTGTTCTCTGGTCTGCAAAATGAACATGGGAGTTGTCAGTTCACACCAGCTGTGTCATGTCCTGATTCCACGACTGCTGATCAAGGCTTGTCTCAAGGATCCATTTCAAAGTCAGCTGCGCTGTTTCTCAATGCTGGCACTACTGACATTTCCAGCCAGATAATTCTTTGCTGTGGGGGCTGTGTTGTAGGATGTTTAGCAGCATCCCTGGCCTCTACCCTTTAATGCCTGTCACACCATCCCCTGAGTCATGACAATCAAAAAGTATCTCCAGACATTGCACATGTCCTTTGGGGGGTCCTGAGTTAAGGACCACTGTGATGGACCATGAGACCAAGGCCTCTCCACCAGAAGGCTGCCTTTCCTTAGGGTGCTGTGGTATTAATGAGGCTCCTGGAAGGAACTGGATTTTCTTTCTACCTAAATTGTTTTCACTTAAGACTCAGCAAAAGAAGAACCGTTTATAGTGTACATTGAATATTTGACGCATGAATATTTCATAAGGCAACCGCCTGTTAGCACTCAGAGTGAAAATGACTGTGTAGGAATAGAAAGAGTAGGCGGGCCTTTGTCTGCAGATGTGGAGGAAACCTTGGAAAATCAAGCCCTTCCTTTGGCCCCTTCCCCTGTCCCCTTTCCAACACTAGTTTACAGTATTTGTTGCCTTTAGCACTATTATTATTTTATAAACATGTATTTGGTTTCTGAACGGTTTTCACAAAAAAAAGGTTTTGAGGAATGTTTTGAAATGAATGAAGGACTTTGGTCCCTCATATTGATCATTCATTTTGTTTTTAAGTGCTCTCCACCTGCCTGAAGCAAGAACATCTCTTTTAGAGGCAGGTAAAGGCAGCCCAACTTTCTGGGCCTTCAATGTTTCCTGACTGTGCAGCTTTCCTCTCTTCCTGTGTTAGAAAAAACAACTGGGGGGGGGCCCTTCCCCTCTGTTTTCCAGTCATCTGCAGAGACCTTGACCCTAACCTGCTGATTTGTCCATCCACTACAGTAGCTTTTGGTCTTTCCTTGGAGGATTTTTAAGAATTCTAATACCTGAAGGCTCAGCCTAGGAAAGAACTATTTCAAAGTTACAGTATTTCTCACTGTCCTTCGTGCCCCCTCTATCCAGTCTGCCACCTAGTTCTGGCATGTCTTCCTCCATGATGTCTCTCCAGTTTTTGCCTTTTACTCCATTCTTAGTGTCCCCCTCTAGCATCACTACCCTTCAAAGCTTGACTTTATCATCTCACTAATGAATCATTGCTATAGCACCTCCCTCTGTCTCCCTCACCCCCAGTCAGCCTTCCCGGCAAAACTCTACCAACTCCATCTTCCTGAAACACACCACCCTCTGCCACCTATGATAGCTCCTCTGCTTCTCAAGACATGCTACACCTTTCATACCCACTGTGGTGGCCCCTTAGCCCATCCCTTTACATCAAGGCTGTGTGTGCCCATGATCTCCCATATTCCTTACTCCAATCCTCACTGCCTTTCTAGATCCTGTCCCTTCTTAGCTTAAGCCTCACCTCCTCTCCTCCTCCTAGGATCAGCCCACCCAGCCGAACTCTTTTCCACTGTTTTGTTCCCCTTGCCAGTCGCTCGTCCTCAATGAACAATTTCTAAGAATTCTTTAGTGGCCCTCCCCATCCTCACCCCCACCTAGGGTATGCTGGGCACACTGTGGGCTCTTGGTGAATCCTGACTGGTCAGGTGATGAATAATGTGTTTCTCCTCTTCTGTCTAGGTCGATCTGTTCCAGCTGCAGGTGAATACTCTACGACGTTATAAACGACACTACAAGTTGCAGACGAGACCAGGCTTCAATAAGGCCCAGTTAGCAGAAGTAGGTAGACAAAATTTGGATAGAGAAAAGAGAGAACTATAATTGTGCCACGGGTGTAACCCTGATTCTTCCCTACAGCAGATGTGGTTCAGTGGTTAAGCACCCCTGGGTTCAATCTCAGATACTAAAAAAGAAAACACACACCACACACACACACACACACACACAATAAGCCAGGCACACAACGGCATACACCTGTAATCACAGCTGGGCAACAGGCAGAAATAGAGGGAACTCAAGTTCAAGTCCAGCCTGAGCAACTTAGCTAGACCCTGTCTCAAAATAAAAATAAAAGGACTGAGGCCAAAAAAAAACTCACAGAAGTTGGTAGCAGAATCTCAGGACTCCTGGCTCTTAAGAATTCTTTTTGTTTGTTTGTTTGAATCTTTTTTGCAAGATACTTTATAGATATGGTCCTTTATGCACATCAGATTTATCAGGTTAATCATCGTCAAAACCTTTGTTAATAAAAAATATAGGAGCTATTTTTTCATTTTTTTCCTCTTGATTTCTTCTTTTCTTGGTGTTAGTAATGGAAGTATTTATTATGATGAATGGCATCCCAAAAAAGTTTTCTCCTACCCTGAGTTCTTAACAGTTTGGAAAGGGGAAAATTCTCCTTTGGCATTTTGTGTAGTCTCCCATCCTCCCATCCACCCCACCCCACCCCACCCCCTCCCCCACCTCAAGACAGGTTCTCACTATGTTGCCCAGGCTGGCCTAGGAATTCCAGGGCTCAGTGATCTTGCCTCAGTCTCTGCAGTGTTTGGTTCTACAGGCATGTGCCCCCACACTCAACTTTCTCATCCCTCTTAATGTGTTTTTCTGCCTATTATTGTAGAAATTTAGACAATGGAAAAAAATAAATAAATGAAGTTCTACCATTCCAAGATAACCACTCTTCATTTCTAGTTCTCTCTTTTTATCTGTCCCAATCACCTCTATCCATCCATTCAGAGATTTCCTAAAAGACTCCACCCTACTTGTTTTGAGTCTTCCTTTAGAGGTTTCTTGCTGATCTATGGTAGTTTTCTTAAATCTTTCCTCCTCCAGTGTCCAGATTACACATAGGAGCATACAGGCCTTTCCTACTTTAAAATGACATTTACCCATTTGCTAGTATTCACCCCTGGTGGAAAGGATAGGATGAGGTGGGGTAAGAGGAGATCTGCCTTCTCATGTCTTACACAATAAGCAAAGTGCTGGGAATATATGGTAAATTATGTGTCTTCCTACAACTCCATTTTGCCTGTTCAGGTCCTTATATTGTTTAGGGCAGTTCTTGGTTCAAATGGTTACATCTTTTTCAATTGACTGTTCATTTGACACAATTCTAAAAAGACACTTTTCTGCCTACTTTAAGGACCTGAGTAAGATTTGGTAGCAGCTGGCCAACCAGAGCAATCCTGAACTGCCAGGATGGATGGTTGGCTGCCACTGAAATAGACCTGTGCCTTGGTAATACTGTAAGTTAAAGTGCTGCTTTTGGAAACAAACCACCTAACCCCTGGGGCAAAAGAGCATCCTGAGTTCTGCAGTACATGGCAAGTCCTGCAATAGTCAGAATTCCCTCCTAGGGCTGGAAGCAACTCCTGTTCTCTCTTTTGCATAGTCAAGAACATGTGGCTCTGATTTATGCATGGTTTAAGGGACTTTGGTTTTTTTTTTCCCCTGCGTAGACTGTCAGCCGGCACTTCAGGAACATACCTGTGAATGAAAAAGAGACCCTCGCCTACTTCATCTACATGGTGAAGAGTAACAAAAGCAGACTGGACCAGAAATCAGAAGGCGGCAAGCTTGAGTGAGGAGGAAGCACACCTTAAAGAAATGAAGTATAATGCTCAATGCACAGGTGATATCTGTGACCATTAAGCCCATAAAGACTGTTAAATATTATTGTAAATAAAAAAGTTTGAATGATGAATACTGTAAATCTTTTTGGTCAGGAGGATTATATTCTCATGATTCAGCATGTGTATAGAAAGACTTTGTTTTCAGATAACTACTGGACTGAAAAAAACAGGTTCATAAAAATAATTTAAAACCATGTATTGCAGCATTCAACAAAGCATTAAGTCGATCCTACTGGAAATATGGAATAAGAAATATTTTGGTATTCACCTTGTATGCCAGGCTGCCACATGCAAGACATGGCCCTGGAACAGCAGCAAAGGGCAATTGATGGTGGAGGTGTGGGAGCAGACCTGTTTGGACTTGCACACCGCCCACTGAGGACATAGACGTCCTGCTCTGTTGCAAGCTCTGATTAGCACATCAGTTTGACACTGGTCCCTCTCACTTGCCCTGTGCCTTGTACACAGTGGGCACTCCATCAGTATTTGTTAGCTAATTGAGCAGTCACAACAGCGCCAGTCCTGTAACATCTGCTTCCATCCTCTCATTGAGACCTCTGCCATTTCTGTTGCTCGCTGCTTAACTGCTAGGTGTGGAAGAAGTCCTGGTGCATCAGCAGGGAGGTTTCAAATCAGACGAGGGTTTCAGGACCGTTGCATGTTTTATTTGTCCAGGTTCCAGAAACAGAATACAAAGACCCTCACGGGAGGGTCCTTTGCATGCCTCTCTATGCTTTACTCTTTGGGGCAAAGTCATGTATTGTGATTTCAGCCATGCTCCTCCTGGGTACTAAGTGCTTTTTAACAAACAGAAATTTAGTGTTAAAAATTTGGGGCTAATGTTTTGAGAAGTATTCATCCTTAGTTCACAGCCACCAGAAAATCTGCCAAGGACCATGTGATTCCTGTTGGGAGTCCAGCTGTGGGAAAGACTGTCTGGCTGCCTTGACTCCCTGGGCTCTGCTAGGCAGCAAATCATGAGTTTGAGCAAAAAAGGTCGATTCCACTTGATCCTCAGTTTTGCAAGAAATATGCCTCCCTTTTAGGGAGAAAGATCACTAAAATAATTTTTCAAAATATTTCAATTAACCTGATTTTTTGTTGTTGTTCAAAAATCAAATTCTTCTATCTAATTATATCAGAGCCAAAGTATCCTGTGAAAGCAAAGTTTTATAATTCAGAAGTATACTTGTGCAAAATTCTCTTATAGCATCTTGGTGGGACAGAGAATGTAGATCAGAAAATGGGAGAAAAAGATAAGAAAATTGGATTCTAATTTCTAACCATCTTGACATACATATGTTATAGTCAAAGGTATGATTTTTTCCTTCTTGGTTTCAATTTAAGCCTTAAATGATAAGAGGAGCAATGGACAGCCTGGCAGAGTTTTAGTGTCTTATCTGAGCTTAATCTAAGCACTATCTCAGAGAAGTCAGAACTAAACCCACACTGAGCAGGTGGTGGAATGTCTGGAGGTCTCAGTTCCGTGGAGCAGAGTACTGTGATTTCTATGGAATGCAAACAAGGCCACCGCTGTCACTAAAATGCAGTATGTTCATTGCCCCATAGCTTTCGCCAGTGTTCAAAATGCATGTCCAGCAGATTGCAGCTTTTCAAAATATGTGTGAATGAATGTACATAGAATATACTCTGGGCAATGAGGGGGCCTATTTTGATACGTCTCCTGGCTGTGGAGGGTATAGCAAGGTGCTCTGAGTGTTTCAGTCATTCTAATTCAGTATGTATCTAGGGACTATCCCTCCTTCATAGCTGACGGATGTTGGCATAGCTATCGAAAAGGCTCAGCAGGGGCTGGAGTTTGGGAGCAGATGGGCCTGCAGGAAAAGGCATCATTAACCTGATCCATGGACATGTCCATGTCTTAATGAGGAAGAAAGTGGATCTTTCTGGTATGTGAACCAAAATTGTGGGCATTATAGGTCATGTCACCGTTTCTTTAATAGCAAATCTGTTTTCCCAGCTGCGAGCAGTACATTTCTGGATAAGGTATGGTGTTGGGGGCCGTGTGTTCAGCTGCATCTGTTAAGAACGCTGTTGTTCCAAAGTGAAGCCTGGGAAGCTTTTCACCTTGAACCAGCCACTGCGCACACATGGTCACATGTTGTCTTTCCTCTGAAGTGGCTGCTGTGGGAAAGTAGAGATTGTGGGTATCTTTTCAACCTTTCAAAACAGGTGAGAGAAAAGCAAAGTTATTTGAACTTGGGTTTTTCTCATGTCCAGAAGTCTGTTCTTTCATCACGCTACTAAACCACTTGCCTTAGCCTCTTCTGCAGTTTTTGATGGCTTTATCCATGGGTAGAAGACTTCTGCCTGTGAGAAATGGCCAGGCCCTCCAAAGCCACCAGGTCTGGCTCTAGGGAGTGGTGGGTTTGGGGAAAGCAGTGTTCATCCTGGCTGCCTGCATTTCTATGCCACTGTCAAGGACACTTCCCTCCACCTGTGACGTTGCAGCATTGCCTTCTCTCTTCTTGGTGCTCCTGGGCAAAACTGGAATTTCAGATCCAGAACTGGTATTGTCTTCTTAAAGAGTACAGTTACTGCCTCAGTTCCAGCCTGGTATGATTGTTTCATGTGCCCTGAAGGTTGTCACATGCAAATGTCAATATCCTACCATTCATGTTTCATTTTAAGGTTTAAAAAAAAAAAAAAAAAAAACTTAGGTTAACAGTGGTATGTGAAGAAGATCATAACTGAATCTCACAAAAGATTGAAAGCCAAAGGATTCAGGACCACTGTTGTAAACAAGGAGGGATTTCACTGTGTGTTACAGCTGCCGAGTGTTAGATGTTCCAGTTGTAGTTAAATAGTCACTGCTAGCCTCTTGGAGAACAGATTTTAATAATGTTTGTGATGGAATGTTGCATCTAACCTTGGCATTTGAGCTGTTTATTTTGTGGGAAATACTTTGTTAATATCCACAGAGCAACTGCCTGGTGGAAGGCGGAGGAGGGGGAAGAAGCTTTCTCTGGGAGCCTTGCATACTGAAGTAGGCTGTCCCACAGGTTGATCCCAGAGAAGTTGCTTCATGGAAATCATCTGAAGACTCAATTGCCACAATGACAAGATCCAAAGGTTGGGAAAGGGTATTTAAGTGATCCAGTCCAGTCTCCCCGTAGGTGCTGACATTCTGCCTCCAACTGTCCCACCAAGGGAGCAGTCTGGGCTTACACACCTCTGAGGACAGAGAACTCACTACCTCCTGGGGAAGCCTGTTCTACCTTTGTAAACCTCTGGCTTTTCTATGTTCTCTGTAATTCTCATCTTAGTCTCTGCCCCATGGGGGCCACATGGAAAGTTTCTCATTGGCAAGGACCTCATTTCTGGCATTGGCCCACAGCATTGCCTTTGTCATCTAAAAAGGAGCAGCAAGGACACAGCTGTTTTGGTGTCCTGCCTGTCCTTTCCCTGAGTTTAGTCCACTTAGCTCCTTGTTGGGGAACCTTGAGGAAGCTCCACCAGCCTGGTTATGCTCACTTGTTCTTGCCAGAGTGGGTGAAGTGGGAGTGGGTGTTACCAGCCTGCTAAAAAAATAACCTCAGATGGCTGAGGCCTGAGTTCTGTGCTTGTCCCATAAAAACTAATGCTCACAACATCATTTAGAAAAACCTACAACTAGAAGATTATTAAATAATATCATTGCTTTGCACAGAGTTTAAAGGTTCCATGGTATCTGAGGGCTGTGGCTTCAGATTCCTGTAAAGACTTCACATTTAGTGAAAACAAAGCTTGTTGGGGGAGGAGGGCTAGTGTCTCAGTGTCAGAAGTGACAGATCTTCAAGCTGCAAAGTCCATCAAGGTTGCTGTTGTCCCATCATCCATCTTTAGAGAATAGGGAACTAAAGTTGCAAGATGTGCCTGAGGTTACATGGGACCTCACTTGGCATTATGGGAACTAGCCTTGGGTCCTCTTGACCTGTCCAGCACTCTTCCCCACTCATTTGCAGTACAACTCTAGTGCAGTCTCAGCTAAGCTGCCTTCAGATTCTTGAGAACTTGTAACAGAGCAGTCCCCAGCAACATGACTCTCAGGGACTGACCTGACCTGTGGAACTTAAGGTTGAGTGAAATGATTAGGCAGTTTGAATTTTGCAAAATGCATGTAAGGGAGAAGAGTTCTAGCCTGTAATTTCAGGGTGTAAAGCCCTAGTGGGAGATGTAGTGTTGTCCTAAAATCCAGATTCTCATGAAGTGGACTTATTCTGTGGTCTCTTGGTTGGACTTCTGCCTTTAAGGTTGTATGGTTCCACTGGCCCTGGCTCCAGGTCTATTCCCAGGATCTAGACAGTTGATCTGAAGGGCAAAGGAGCTCAAGATCATGCCCAGGAAGCGTGGTGCTTTAGGGGTGCCTTTTTATTCCAAGTCTGTGGGTAGAAAGGGTTATGTTGGTCTGGTGTTTGAGGCAGAAACCTCTAACTCAGTTTTCTCATCTAGCTTTCACCTTCAGTTGCTCTCACTTAATCAACACTTAATCAACACATTTGCCAACGACAGAGGGTTGTACAGAATCCCTGTTTTTACCCCTCTATTGTCTGCTATGCCCATCGGAGTGTATTTTGGGGTATGGGGTTTGCGGGGGGTGGGGGTTGTCCATTTTGTAACTGCCTTATTGAAAAGTAAGTGCCCTTCCATTCCAGGCCTCCTCATATTGTACTCATTTCCTGCCAAATTTGGGGGATCATTTGTATTTTAATTTTGTAATCTATGGCTCTGTACTGTTGAAAGGCTCTCGATTCTGTAGAGTCTCCTTGGTATGTATGTGACTTTTCATGTTGCAATATCACACAGACTGGGATGGCCCGACTTTCGCTCTTAATAAATGATCTGAATAAGTAAGAGACACAGTCTGTTGTTCCTGTTGAATTTCTACGGAGAATTGAGATGTTTTCAGTTTCAGGCTGGGCCCCTGGCTACGTATGACCGTGGTTAATAATAGTAGCCTTGCCTCTCAGTCCCAAGCACCAGCACCCACTATGCCCTGCAGTCTTGGTGTGCACCAAATAAGATCAGATCACAGAAGTTTGGGCCCAAGTTCAACTGCTGCTGTTCCTCTCTCACTGGGAGGGTGACCAGCTGGGATCCAGTAGCCTGAGTCTGGGAACTCAACTTCCATACAGTGTACCAGACAGATATCCTCAGCACAGAGTTCACTGTCTGTGTCTGCAGTTATTCATCTGTAAGATGAAGGTCCTAAGTAAACCAGGTGGAGGTTACAAATTGAAATGCCTGCAGAAGGTGGACTATGAACTAGAAAACTCAGATCCCTTCTAAGGGCAGTCACTGCTCAGCTCCTGCCTGTCACTGCCATGTAGGAAATCCAGAGCTTCATGTAAATATCCTGGTGTCTAAAGTCTCAAAAACTTTGTATGGACTGGCATTTCTTCACCGCTCATAGAACCTTGCTATTTAAAGTTGACCTCATACTTGGTAGAAATGCAGGATCTCTGCCCACTCTCCTGCAGTCTATCTACTGAATCAATCTGTTGACAAAGTCTCCAGGCAAGTTAAGTGACATGCAGTTTACAGTTTAAGAAAGCTGAGTTCCATGACAGCTTTCCTAGTGCAGGTCCCCGAGTCCTAGCAAGCCTCTCACTGCTGGTAAGGAAGAAAGGCAAGCCTCAGGCACAGGTGCCACTTAGTGACATCTCTGTCTTCAGAATGAAAAGTAAAAAATAAATAGTCATCATGTGAGTTAAGTAGAATACATCCTACCTGTAAAATGTTAAGCTTCATGGAAATTTTGTAAAGTAGACTCCTCCCCTCCCCATACCCGCCCTCCCCATCCCACTCCCTGTAAACAGCACATGGAGAGGACTCTTCAGAGACATTTTGGGAGTGGGGCAGGTAGGCAGACCTGATCTCTCCAGAGCTCACAGGATTCATAATAGATTGTTACGGAAGGATGCCATCATTTACAGGGTCCCTGAGTTGATTTCCTGTAGAAAGCAAAGGAAGTTCTGATTTTCAGTCCATGTTAGACTATTGGCAGTTGTTTCTACTTTTCTATCTGCTGCCCTCCAACCCCTCCTCACACATTGAACTGAAAAGAGGTGCTTTGTCCCCAAGTTTCCCCCCAACTGGATGGTCCCCACTGGAATGAAAGAATCCACAAACATCACATTTAATGAACAGATGAACCCTCATTTTTATTTATTTTATTTTTTTGGAAGTACTGATGATTGAACCCAAGCCCTTGAACATGCTAGGCAACTACCACTGAGCCACATTTCCCATCCTGAATCCACATCTTACTGTACCAAGAAAAGTTTCACTTGAAGGAAATACACCTTCCCCCTGCCCCCCCACCAAAAAAAAAAAAAAAACAGAGCCTTCGAATAATGATCAGATTATCTTAGGTCCAGCATTTTTTTGAAAGTATGGCAGTATCCACTCTCCAGCTCCATCAGAATCCCCCAACAATGCTTTCAATGCTAACTCCTGGGCCCCAATCCCACATCCTTAGAATGGGATTGGGGCCCAGGAGTTAGTATTGAGGCCCAGGAGTTAGCTCAGAGCTGAATGCCAGAAATAGGAGCTTCTTAATTTCTCATTAAGTCGAAAAGCACCAATCTGATCTTGAGGTTTCGCAGCCCAGGTGGAAGATGAACATCTTCAGCTCTATCTGAAGAGTTCCCAGTGAGATCCACTAAATGAGAATCCTTTCAAGTGGGTCCCACAGAACTGTCTTACAAAATCTCCTGGAAATTTATTTGTATGTCCACATTCAGGAACCACTGAATCTAACCCCCTAAGACTCAGGCCAGGAAAATAGGCTGTATTCCCTATTAGCTTAGATGTGTCAAACAGTGGCATGCATATCCCCAAAGACTATTAAGACCAATCATTCCAATAGATGGCCATCAATCTAGATAAATCCATACTTACGTGTTGCCCAAGTTTAATCCACAGTCCTAGCACAATGCCTCGCATGGAGCAGAACGCTGAGTGTCTAGGATTGAATCTGCCATTTGCTAAACAGTTCTATTATTATTATTATTATTAATTTTGTTTTGGTTGTTTTGTTTTTAGTTTATAAGGCTCTTCCACATCCAGAAGTAATGAAGTCTATCAAGTACCGAGTGCTTGCCAAACAATGTGCTAATAGTTTTATGTGCATTAATTCACTTAATCTCACTACAGTCATATAAAGTAGCAAACTGTTATTAACTCCAATTTATAGAGGTGCAAATACAGACTTAGAGAAGTTGAGGAACTTGCCCAAGAAACATAAGAGCAAGAGCCACTTCTGGGATTGACTCCAAGGCTCTCTGGCCCTAGGGACATTGTTGTCAAGCCCATGTCAAAGAACTCAGCGTGCCAAGCTTTGAGGTAGTGCAGCCGCAAGTTACCCTGGTCCCCTCTACAGGATTTACTAAATTTTATTGAGGGATTCTGAGAAGTCACTAAGACTCTAGTTAGGAAATTTAATAGGGTTTAATGGAGGTTAATAAGGTACATCCAACCTTCCAGCCAGTTTTTAACCCACCGAAGCTGAACAGAGATTAACAAGCGCAGGAGGTGCAAAGGCACCTGCGTGATTTAACGGGGTTAATGAAACTGTCAGAGGTTGGTGAGGAACAGCATGCAGTTCACAAGTGATCTGCTTGAGGTCAACGGACAGTAATTAAACAGCTGAAGCCTGCCCTGGCCTGCCCTGGGCACCATGGGGGAGCAAATAAGAAAAGGCCACAACCAACATGGTAAGTCCTGGTTGGTGGGCTGGGGGGTGAGTTTTCCTTTCTCCCCTGGCTTTCCGGATGTCATCTAAACCGTTTATATTGGGCATCAACCCTTCCCACCATAACTAAAGTAGCAAATCCCTTGCTTGCAAAAGTTAAGCTTCACATTGGGGAAAGGTGTATAGAATAGTAAGAGAGGTCAAAGCAACAACAACAATACAGTCTTAAACTTAAGCATGGTAAAGGGGCTGTCACCTATTTACCTCCATGGGTTCTCATCATACGCTATGATATACAAAGGTCACACTGGCAAGAGGAAAGCCAAAACAAATCTTCATCTCCTTCTCTCAAATTGCTACTTTTTTTCTTTTTTCTTTTTTTTCACCTACTATGTGACAGGTCCAATGTTAAGCACTTTGCATGCCTTAACGACCCTACCACTATTATTATCCGTATTTCACACATGAAGAAATAGAAATTTAGAAAAGTGAAATGGCTGGTCCAGGGTCACCAGAAAGTAGTGTGGATGAGAATCAAACACAGGTCCCAGAGTTCACTGTGCCATGCTGCCTACTAATTGGGCAAGACACTATTTCCCAGGAGCATTATTTAGATCAGGGAAGAACTGGAAATGGCCTCTCTATCAAATAATAGGAGACTGGTTGTAAAAGTATTATGTTTATCATCATTGTAAAATAAGATTTAATGACAGAAAGACATCCGTGTCAGTTTAGAAATACTATATTATGTTTTCCTATCTATACTATATCTATATGTGTACACACTATATGTAGTACGTATGTGTACGTATACATACATGTATTCATACCACATGTATGTATGCATATGTGTCTATAAATGCAAATATATACTTGTATCTATAGTTGTGGCCATATTCCTGGGTATATCTGTGTTAGATTTTTGTCCCTGGGACAAACTACCTAAACAGAACAACTTGAAGGAGGAAAGATTTGCTTTGTCTCCTGGTTTCAGAGGTTTCAGCTGGTTGGCTCCATCGCTTTGGACCTGAGGCAAGGCAGAACATCATGGCAGCAGGTATGGCAAAGGAAACTGCTCACCTCATGGCATCCAGGAAGCACAGAGAGAGGGAGGCAGGGGTCAGGGACAAGATCCCCTTCCAGGGCACACTCCCGTGGGCACCTTTCTCCTCCAAAGAGGGTCCACTCCCAATAATGCCATCAGTCCTGAACCCATCGATGAGCTAATCCACTGACGAGGTCGGAGTCCTCACCATCCAATCACTCCCCCAGAGACCCACCTCTGAACATGGCTGCATTGGTCCCCACCAAGCCTTCAAGACATGAGTCTTTCTGGGACATTCCAGATACAAACTATAGCAATTTCAAAGCCTCTTATTTACCACTCCATGGACAGCCATGCTGTATCTCTATGTGATTCAAAGTAAGGGGAGGGCTGGGGTTGTGGCTCAGAGGTAGAGCGCTCACCTAGCATGCATGAGGCACTGGGTTCGATCCTCAGCACTACAGAAATATAAAATAAAGATATTGTGTCCACCTATAACTAAAAAAATAAATATTAAAAAAGTAAGGGAAAATACAAAGGAAAAGGCACCTGGAGGACCAAGGGAGGACCTGGAGGAAGAGTCTCCTCTGCAGGCCCTGGAAGGAAATGGAAGGTCTGCTGAACTGAGAGCCGGGGAGTCCAAGCCCACATTACTATAATTAGGAGCAGAAAGCTTCAAGTGCAGGGTAAGCAGCTTGGAGTCACCAAACCTGCCATTATTAAAAACCTACCTGGTTTGATCCCCAGCACCACATACAAATAAAATAAAGATATTGGTCCACCTATAACTAAAAACCTACCTGGGCCAGGCACAGTGGCACACACCTGTCATTCCAGCTACATGGGAGGCTGAGGCAGGAGAATTACAAGTTCAAGGCCAGCTTTGGTAACTTGGAGAGACCCTGTCTTAAAATGAAAAAAAAAAAAGATTTTAAAGGGCTTGGAATGTAGCTCAGTATTAGAGGGCCCCTGTCTCCATTCCTGTTACTGAGTGGGGGGGAGGGAGGGAGGGAGGGAGAGAGAGAGAGAGAGAGAGAAAGTATATAGTCAAGAAAATGTTTTGGTGTCCCCAGTGTCTGTGGGCCAGGTGCCTAAGGGAATGGACTGTATCCTCCTA